TCTCATCTCACACTTTCCCACGTGAACTCATCTAATCATCACTTCTTCAACTGGAAACTTCAGTGAGTTCGTCTTAATTCTTTCTTCATATCTGCATTCAATTCTTCACCAAACTGTTCTCATTTTACTTCAACATTTCTTCAAGACAGCCTTGTTCTTCATTTAAAATGTAACAGGTTTTGGATCCTTTCATCTTTCACCTGGACTAATTTGAGAATCTTCTTCAAGGAATGCATGTCACCATATATCCTACATTCTACTTCATCCTCCAAGTTGCCATCAGTTTTACACTAAAAACCAAATCCAATCAGATTAATTTATTGCTTGGAGATCTTTGTTGCATCTATGTAATGCCTACAAAATAGGTATCCTTCACTATCTGGCTCTGACCTATCTTTTCAGGCCTCATCTCCTACAAATCTCACCCTGACTTTGCATCTCAATTCCAGTCCCAATGAATGTGTCTTCCAGTCCACATATGCTATGGATGTCTCCAATTCCTGTTTTTTTTGTTTCTTGTTTTTCAAAAAAAACATTGTCCAGGCTGGAGTGCAGTGATGTGATCGTAGCTCACAGTAACCTTGTACTACTGGCCTCAAGCAAACCTCTCACCTCAGCCCCCAAAAGCAATGGAATTACAGGCATGAGTCACTATGCTTGGCCTTCCAATTCCTTTTCTTTGCACATTTTGATACCCCATCTTTTGTGTCCACCAGTTCCCTTATTGCCAAGCAAACTCCCTCTAGATATCATAACTCTGAAACCTTTCCTCACTACAGCTTTTTCTATTCTCTCACAACATTATGTTCCTATATATTTTAATACATAGCACACTGTATTGTGAAGCTCTCTTCGTTTGACACTTCTATTAGACTGTGAAACCCTTAAGAAGGATTGTCTTGTTTTTTTTTTATTGTTAACACCCAGCACATAGAACATTTGCTGGCACATTAATCAATACTAAATGAATCACTTAAACTAAAATCAGCCCTGCTTATAGTCATGCTAACAATTTCCCTTATATAGAAGGAAACCAAATGCAAGAAAATTTCAGTACAACTCCATGCCTTTTCTAGTTCATAACAATTGCTAATATCAGATAAAAAATGGGAGCCCTTAACGTTTACTTTAAATAATTACCATTGTTTGACAGGAAACTGTTATCTGAGCTATCTAAGCACTCATCACAGCAAAATGGGCAGTAAATTCTTCTTGCTAGGTTGTGATGCTTTATACCTATTCTTTAGTTTATTCTACTCTAGAATATCCCATGACTCTAAAACACTTGTCTATCTAGAACATGGCTACTGAAAGCTCTAGTGTGTGCTTATTCAGGCTCCAGTTTATAACCACTTTTCTATTGCATTTCTTGTTTTTCTTAGGCTCTAGTTATCTTCAATCACTTTTTATAACACCTCAATTCTATTTTAGG